TAAGGTTGGTATTGATACACCATTTATATATTTGTCGAATCAAATTCTATCCAATGCAAGTAATATGTATGCGTTTTTTGTGAATCCTCACACACACACACACACACACACACACACACACATACACACACACACACACACACACACACACACACACACACACACACACACACATATATATATATATATATATATATATATGTGTGTGTGTGTGTGTGTGTGTGTGTGTGTGTGTGTGTGTGTGTGTGTGTGTATATGTATTATTGTTCTTTTTGTCAAACATTCGATCTCTTTCTTTCCAAGTTTTTGCTATTACTTATAAGTTCCAATCCTCATGTCAGGAAATAGTTTGAAGAGTTAATACCGTTTGAGATCCTCCGAGTATAGTGGTTTTGCCACGTTTAGTCCTAAACATTCAAATTGACAACCATTTGTGGTCCAAGTTAACCACACATGGTCCTTCAAGTTTCAAAACTTAACCAGTTGTGATCCTCTTGAAAGGACCATGGTTGGTTAAAATTTAATAGTTGAAGGACCATGAGTGGTTAACTTGGACCACGAATGGTTAAATTTGAAAGTCGAAGGACCACATATGGTCAATTTGAAAGTTTAGGACTAAATGTGGTAAAACCACTATACTCGGAGGACCTCAGATGGTATTAATTTCCAACATATGAATGCAAATGTTACAATCAATATTTGGAATCCAGTGGTTTGTCGAGTTTGTAATGCCTTTTCCGAACTCTGTACAACTGTTGTACCATATTGAACATCATACAAGACAAGGTGTAGTCCTCTCACCAGCAATCAATGGTGCACCAATGTCTTTTGGATCACAAATCTCTCAAATTCGACCTAATCAATCTACTTTTAGTGAAAACACAATTGCTACAACGTTATCTAGGCAACATCCAAATGGTATTATTACTAGTCATCCTCGACGAGGAGCGCCATCAAATTTTGTTGGGGGACATGGCATAAGGTCAGAAAGGAACAACTTTAACTCATTAATGGAATTAAATTCTGATGACTACACTCTACCTCTTGTGAATCAATTAGAAACCCCCTTTGAAGACGCAACCATGTTTTGCTCCTGCCAAGAGGATGAAGATGTCAATTTAGCCCTTACTTTAAAGCTTTAGATAAATTTAATTATCAATCATTTACATTATATAGTCTCTATATTAATGTAGCTATATTTGAGATTTAGCCAACTACTAGGCTATTAAGCTTCATTTAGTCATTTAATTTATGTTTGAATTTGATTTCTCCGTTAAAAAAAATGTGGAATACATTCTCTTGAATTCAATAAAGCTTTATTGTTTTCTTTTATGTCTCTTATTCAAATGGCATACACAATTTTTTAAAAGAAGAATTAAAGGGGAAAATAATTAAATCGTCCATGGGCACGTGCGTGCGGAGCACGTGCGCATTAGGCACCATTTATGATTCTCAATTATCCATCAGGCACCATATATGAATTACCTATGTGAGTGAGGAGTGGGACCACTTCAAAGAATAATGGCATAGACTCAATTATTTAGGAACTGTAATAGAACCAAGTAGGGTATTTCGATCCATTGTCAAAATGGACACACCCATGATAATGAAACAAACGTTGGGAGGTTTATGTGTAAGATATATCGTCATTTACTCAAAACGACAAGCTCAAAGCTATTGCATTTTACTGGATAGTTAGTAAACTAAATATATCTTTACAAGGAATGGTTCAATGTGTAACATCTAACTATCCTATGTAGGGATCATTCATCGGACAATGTCATGTCTTTTTATAGTCTCAAAAATCAATTTTAGTTCATATCGAGATTGTTTAAAAAATGACATTTAAATTAGTCATATTGAGTTAATGTTTTTAGTGTGATCCACCTCCAATTTGGTTTAGGTCAAAGTGTACCCATTGATTTGAAAAAAGTAGAGATTTGAAAGGCTTTTAAATAACATTTATCCCATATTAAAAAGGTATGTGGGTTTGTACTAATATAAATACAATTCAACATTTTGAGTTTGAATTGTGTAGCATAGAGACTCTCTCTCACGTGTAGGGGAGAGGTGCAACCCAGGTTCTTAGTTGGTTAAAGGAGTCGCACATGGATGGTAAACAGGTCTTCTTGGCTATTCGTGGTGTTTTGTAAGGTAGTGTGTTTGGTTTAATAGTGGATGATGTTAAAGAACGAACAACTACTTTTGAAAGTCTGCAGTTCTCTTGTGTTAAGCGATTTGCAAACGATGTTACTTATGTTGTTGCCAGAGATGCTCGTTCTTTGTTAGGTTGTGAAGAATGACATGTCAATCATCCTTTCTTTTAATGTTATGTTTCATGATCTTTCTTGAATGAAGTTATTTTTGTGTTAAAAAAAAAAAAAAAAAAAAAAAAAAAAAAAAAAAGAAAGAGTTAATTCCACTTTTGGTCCTACATTTATTGCGAGATGGATACATTTTGCCTGATTTTATTAATTTAGCCACATTTTGCCCAGTCTTTTTAAAAGGTGGATACTTTTGGTCCACCGTTACATTTACTGTTAATGAGCCGTGAAAAGGGAGGACAATTGTGTCTTTTCACGTGCTATTCTTCATCGGCCTTCAATTTTCTTGATCTCCATCATCTATCAAACCCAGAATACGGTTTAGTTAAGAGACCCAATGCTTCCCCTCTTCATAATAGGGATTTTGCAGGTTGTAGTTGTCCAAGTAAGAGACCCAGAGCTTCTCTTCTTCATGACAAAATTTTGCAGGTAGTAGTTGTCCAGGTTATAGAATACGGTTCAAACTCAAACATTCTTACCCAACCCATCACCGCTGACCACGTTCTCGGCCATCCCGGAGCAGTCCTCCGACGCCGCCTTCCCGGTAGACCTCTCGGAGGAGCTGTTCCACGGGATCAAGTCTGCATGCGGGTCGAATGCTTACTCGAGTCAGCACCATCCCGGGTCTCAACCCGTCAACCAGAACAATTGAGATCGAAACCCCAATCGACACAGTCGTACGGAATTCCTCCGTGGACGCGAGCTTCCGGAAGCTGGGGATAGAGAAGCTGAGCATCAGGGATATCCAAAGGCTAAAGTGGGAGACTCTAGAAATGAAGATCCGACGGTGGATTCGGGTCGCAAAATTATGCGTTAGGGTACTGTTCGCCAGCGAGAAAAAGCTATGCGAGCAAGTTTTCGAGGGTTTAGGCACTGCTACCGACGATGCTTGCTTTATGGAGATAATCAAAGGTCCGGCTATCCAGTTTTTTAATTTCACCGAGGCCATTAGTATCATTCGGTGGTCGGCGGAAAAATTGTTCAAGATACTGGATCTTCACGATGTTGTCCACCACTGCGACAGAGCCGTAAGAAAATTCGGTGGGGAAGCCACCCGGGTCATTGGCGTGGCTGTGCGAAGGAGAAGCCAGAAATGGTATTGCAGCTGCTCAAGGTAATTTTTCACCATTTTGCTCTGCTGTTGTGAATATCCATTTCCCATTTGGACTCGAATCATTTTACTCTGTTGTTATGTATTATTGTTTTTGTTTTTGAAAGGTTATGTATTATTGTTTAATTTGTGGTAAAAAGAAATTTCAAGGATTTTGTTAGTGTAAGAATTACAACTGATATGAGAAATGGAACCAAGATGAAGAGAAGGGCGACAAATGGCCATGGTCTTCATATCCGTGAAAACTCTCTTGTCTCTGACTAGAAGATGGAGACCAAGCAAGTTGAAGGCTGATGAAGAATAGCATGAGAAAGGACATAATTCCCACCCCACCCCCCCCCCCCCCCCCACACACACACACACTTCACGGATATTTAACATCAAATGTAACAGTGGACCAAAAGAGTCCACCTTTAAAAAAGGCTGGGCAAAATGTGGCTAAATTAATAAAATCGGGCAAAATGTGTCCATCGCGCAATAAATGTAGGACCAAAAGTGGAATTAACTCTTTAAAAAAATAAAGTATTACTTTGGGATGTTCATGTTATAAAATATAAGTTAAGACTACATTTGGATAATTAGAAATCTTAGGGACTAAAAAGTGTCCTTCTTTCCTTTCAATCTTTCATGTTCACGGCTTCATTGTTTCACACTCCTCACCGTTCATTCTTCAGTGGAGTTTCATTGATTTATAACTGAAGAGTTCATTTCACCCACCCCCCTTCAGTTCGTTGAAATGGTAGCCAGTCTATATCAAACCCTCAGTCGATTATTTTGGTACTGCAATTGTGCTCTTGCTGAAAAAGTACAGTTTTATTTCAGAGCCATATAGCTATGGTGAAGTGGGCAATGAGAGATATGATGTGATTGCCGTGGGAGGAGGTCACGCCGGCTGCGAAGCAGCTTTGGCTTCAGCTAGACTTGGCGCGAAAACACTGCTTCTTACACTTAACATCGACCGCATAGCGTGGCAGGTAACTAACTAAATGTTCAGGTTTCAGATTTATACTCTTTGATGTGAAGAATTTTTCTTTTATGGCATCTTATACTTTCGTGTCTTTGAAAATTGGACTGTTTTGCTTTGTTTTACGAAAATATATCACTGTTCACCCATGTGTGCCTTTTAAAGAATTCTTGGAGAGTTATTGTGGGTGTTAGTCCATTCATCAACTTTGGTTTTCTATTTGCTTAGTAAAATTGGCAAATTTAATTTTATGTTTTGTAAAAAATGCTGTCTTTTCTTTTTGGGGGGGGGGGGGGGGGGGGTTCCAAAAGAGTAATTAAGGACTGTCAATAACAATTTATGATGTTATACCAAAATTGCAATTCTATTTTTATGTTTTTTCTTTATTGAAAGGATGAGATAAACGTTAACAGTTCAATTCCAATAGAATAGAGATTACAATACTATAAACTATAATCAATCAGCGTAAACTAATCCTATCTATCAGGAAAGTCATAAAGAACTAACAAATTACAAAGACTAGTCAAAGGTGTAACACATAATAATAATAATACTAATAATAATATTGCTAACACACCCCCTCAAGCACAAGGGTGGTGAGCCACAACATTGAGCTTGTCATGGAGAGTTGCAAAAAGAGGCCCTGGCAACGGTTTGGTGAAAATGTCTGCGAGCTGGTCCTTTGTCGATACAAAATTGACAACCAAGTCACCAGACGCAACCTTGTCTCGAACAAAGTGGAAATCAATCTCAACATGTTTGGTTTCGCGCAGAGGTAGGTGGCGCCTAGGTTATCGCACTAGAGCGTGGATGGTTCACCAGAGTGGAGTCCAAGTTCACGAAGCAAGGAGACAACCCACGTGACCTCTGCAGAGATATCGGCGAGGGCTTTGTATTAAGCTTCAGTTGATGACCGGGCTACTGTGCGCTGTTTCCGGGATAGCCACGAGATGAGATTAGTCCCTTAGAAAACATCATACCCACTCGTACTTTTCATGTCGGCCGGGCACCCGGCCCAATCCGAGTCCGAAAAGGCATGGATGGCGGAGGAGGCAGAGACAGACAGGCGTAAACCATAGTCGAGGGTGCCCTTGATATACCGCACAACCCGTTTCAGAAGACCCCAGTGATCATTAGTTGGAGAATGCATGGACTGACACATGCGATTGACAGCGTAGGATAGGTCCGGCCGAGTGATAGTCAGGTACTGGAGTGCTCCAACGAGGCGCCGGTACTGAGTTGGGTTGTCGTATGGTTGATCGGAGGGTGATACAGGTTGAGTAATAGCAGCCGGTGTGGCCAACGGTTTGCAATCAGACATGCCAGCGCGGTTCAGAATATCCTTCATATAACGGCGCTGAGAGAGCAAAAAACCAGTGTCTACCTTCAAGGTCTCAATCCCGAGGAAGAACCGGTGTACCAAGATCCCGGATCTTGAAGGTGCTAGATAGGCGATGCAGTAGAGTAGAGATGAGTGTGGGATCGTTCCCCATCATAATAATGTCGTCGACATACACAAGCAGGTATACCCGGGATGTGCCAGCAGAGTAGTGGAATAGGGAAACATCCGTCTTGGAGGATAAGAAACCTGCAGAGATAAAAAAAATCATGTAATCTCTTAAACCAAGCCCGAGGAGCTTGCTTAAGACCATATAGGGGTGTCAAATCGGGCCAACCCGCCTCATCAGACACGCCCCACTGCGGGCTTATTTTTTGGCGGGCTTTTGCGGGCCGGCCCTCGAAGCCCGCGGGCTAGAGTTCATGGGGCCCTAACCCGCCCCACGCGGGTTGGCGGGTCTCGCGGGCCAGCCCGCGGGCTTTCTATTTAAAAAAATAAATAAATAAATGCCAACATGCCGAAAACTCAGTTTAAAAATTGCAAAAATTCCTTCTTGGTGTTTTGGATTTTATCTCAAGACTAGAGTTTGGACAACAAATTTTGGTTGAGCTATTTACTTTTCAAAAAATAATTGAAAAACTCCAAATTGTGGTCTCAGATCTGCGGCTGATGTTTAATATTCTCTTGCAACCCTTTAATTTTTTCTTGCGCATGCGACGATGTAGGCGAGATTTGCGGCTGACGTTGGCCAGCGACGGTGATTGGCGAGGCAGAAGGCACTGTGGATGGCCTGCTTTCGGTCTATCGCTGCGCTGGCGAACTACGGCGAGACCCACTTGTGGCGTCGTTGGTGGATGCGCGACTACGAGGGTCAAGGATGCGTAGCGTGACCGGTGTCTGTGCGTGGTGCGGCTATGAGGAGCTATAAGCGGCGACATTGTGCGAACGGCAGAGCTACGGGCGGCAGGGCTGGAGTTCTTAGAATTAGAGGGTTATTAGAGATTAGGACATTGTGTTGCTAGATTTCTTTCTCAAAGCTTTTTTGGAATTTACTAGAGACGTTTTTTCACAACGAGAACTTGAGAAGGAGAGAATGAGAAATTGAGGTTGAAGAGGGAAGCGCTGAAAATGAGATCTGATCTAGTCATCTAGGAGTCTTTAGGTTTTTTTTTTTAAATTTAATATAGAAGTCCTGGCCCACGGCCCGCGCGAGCTAACCCGCACGGGCTGCGGACTACTGCGGGTCAGGCCCGTTAGGCCCGCATTTTCACGGGCCACTTTTTTTGTAACCCTAACCCGCCCCACTGTGGGGCGAGTGCGGGTTGGCCCGCGGGCTTCAACCCATTTTGACACCCCTAAGACCATATAATGCCGTTGAAGATGACACACGTACGTGATCTGGATGTGTGGGATCTTCATACCCCGGTGGCTGTTTCATGTATACCGTCTCAGCTAAATGTCCATTTAAGAAGGCATTGTGCACATCCAGTTGTCGTAGAGTCCAGTTGTGTGACACAACTAGAGAGAACAGAAGGCGGACGGTGGTCGGTTTGACCACAAGGCTAAAAGTGTCGAAAAAATCATCGCCTGCAACTTGATTGAACCCCTTCGCAACAAGACGAGCCTTGTATTGTTCTATAGAACCATCGGCATTACGTTTGGTGCGGAACACCCACTTGCAACCAACCACATTCATGTGTGGCTCATCCAGTACAAGCTTCCAAGTGTCGTTGTGTAAAAGGGCGTTGAATTCCTGGTCCATAGCATCGCGCCACTACAGATGCCCAACAGCCTGTGAATAGCAGGTCGGGTCAGTAGTTACATTTAGAGCATGAAATTGCTCGCTAGTGTCGCGTGTCATGTGTCTAAGTCTCATCACATGTCCTCGTTCTTGATGCTGAGTTCAGACCGCCCGAGCCCTGGTTGGTGCCGTTTGAACGGGCCCTTCAATAGCCAAGGGAGGGAGACCCCGAGCCAACGGTACCGGACTGGTTAGACTCATATGGGCCGAGTCCGTCGGTGCAGCGTGAGTGTTGCACGGAGCACGTGTCACAACCGGTTCGGAGGCCCACGGTATTGTGGGTGGCACGGGCTGCGAGCACAGAGTTGAGTCTGAAAAAAGAAAAATAGACTCGTAAAAGTGCACATGGCGGCAAATATAGATTTTTCCACTCGTTAGGTTCATGCATCTATAGCCCCTAAAGCTGGGAGGGTAAACTAAGAAGACACAGGGTGCTGAGCGGTACTCTATCTTGTGGCGATTGTAGGGTCGTAGATAAGGGTAACACCGGCACCCGAAGACTCGGAGGAAAGTGTAGGGTGGTGGAGTTTTATGCAAGCGTGTGTATGGGCTCTCAAACTGCAAGACTGATGTGGGTAAATAGTTGATTAGGCAGGTAGCCATTTCGAAGGCAAAGTCCCAATATTGTTGGGAGACTGAACCTTCGGCTAATAGGGCTAACCCAGTTTCAACAATATGCCGATATTTTCTCTCTACTCTGCCATTTTGTTCGTGCGTGTACGCACATGACTTACGGTGAGTTATACCAAGTTTGGTTAAGGTGTGATGTATTTTGCGGTATTCCCCGCCTAGATCGAATTGAATAGACTTGATAGAACGCGAAAATTGGCGTTCTACCCTGACACGGAACGACTCAAAAGTTTTATATATGTCAGATTTTACCCGTAAGGGTAAAACCAGCAGAAACGTGAGTAATCATCTACAAATAGCAGAAAGTATCTAAATCCACTAGTAGAGATTACAGGAGCCGGGCCCCAGATGTCTGTATATAATAAATCTAATACATTTTTACTAGAATAGGAAACCCTATCTAATGGGAATCTAGAAGCTTTGCTGAGATGACAGGAAGTGCGCGACCCCAACGACTTGACTTTATTTGGTGCAACCGGACACGACTGTAAGACGCGGTTTTGCACATGGGCATTCGGATGGCCCAACCTGCGGTGCCAAACCGTGGAAGTTGCACGGGAAGTGAGATATGCAAAATGAGATCGAGAGACCGGGAGCCTGTATAAGCCGCCCGATGTGGAACCTCTAAGCAGCACCGCCCTGGTGATTGAATCCTTCACAATGAAACAATCTTTGTGAAATTCAAAAAACACATTATTTTCGTTCGTAAGCCGATAAACAGAAAATAAAGGAACTGATAACTTTGGGACATATAAGACATTAGACAAATGTAACAATTTTGACTCGGATGGTATAGAGGCATGACCAACGCGCGAAATTATCAAACCGGCGCCATTACCAACACGTAGGACGTCACTACCCGTGTACTCATCCGATTGTGACATCATGGATGCTGTAACACACCCGATTTCCATGCCATTTTAAACTTAAATATGCAAGATAATCTAACCACAATATAAGCAAATCACAGCAAAAGTCTAACTATATAAAACGGGAAAACGAAGAGTGTTATGCCACGTCCACACTAGGGTGAACGCACAGGCAAGAACATCATCAACATCAACAGTCTAAAAGTCTAACAAGGTCAAACCAACAACAAACTATTGTTTAACACGAACAGATTTTGTTCGTCGAGCGAAATAGGGTGGCCAGCATGCGCAAGATCTTCCACCAATAATTGAGCACGACCCAAGTATTCCACCGCACTACTGTTGCCCTGCCGGAGATAATGGAATTGGCCGAGAGGACTCAGGCACCGAGCTCGAGAGGAACTGCCCAGCGCTGCCCCGATGGACTCCCAGACCACTCTCGACGTGGTTCTCCCGACGGCCAAATGCATCACTTCATCGGAAAGTGACGATATGAGCAGAGATAATATGGATTGATCCTGCTTAATCCAGGCTCTGTACGCCGGATTTGGCGTCGGCGCCGCGGTGGTTGCGTCGGGGACGGAGTCGCCGGAGGCCGACAACGGTGCGATAGTCGGCGGTGGGCATGGCGTCTCGTCGTCGACGTAGCCGAGGAGCTCCTGTCCACGGAGGAACGGCACCAGCTGTGTTCGCCAAAAAATAAAGTTCCGATATGTAAGTTTTATCGAAACGAAATGATGAGCACTTGAGGGGGGATTTGGGGTGGTGGTTAGGGGAGATGCGTCACCGGCGGTGACTGTCCGTTCGGATGAATTGGTTGACATGGTGGCCAGCGTTTAAGAGAGGGGAGGAGGATCGCAATTGGTTGTTTGTGGGGAGAGAGGGGAGAGAAAAGACCTGGACAATCTGATACGAGATGAGATAAACGTTAACAGTTCAATTGCAATAGAATAGAGATTACAATACTATAGACTATAATCAATCAGCGTAAACTAATCCTATCTATCAGGAAAGCCATAAAAAACTAACATATTACAAAGACTAGTCAAATGTGTAACACATAATAATAATAATAATAATAATAATAATAATAATACTAATAATAATATTGCTAGCAGAAAGGACTGACAGGTTTGAAGAAATATCATAATGCTGCATTTTTCCCTTTCTTTTTGGTTATTTTTCAAAACTAATTACAAATACATTGTTTCCTTAATATATCTTCTCATTCGTTCTGCCATGCTGAACCTGAGCCAAAGCCAACCACCAACCCCAACGTTGCCTTCCACCACCAGAGAGATGTCGCCGGAGTTGCCCTAGCCATGCCGTCGACAGTCACCGCATCGCCGGAGAAGGACCGCAGTACCCGCAGGTGGTTTCACGGGAAGTTCACCACCCGCCACTCTGCTCGCTGCAAGCTTTGCCGAGGAGAACCGGGACCACCGCTGGCTACTCCTTAATGAAGAAGTGGATGCCACCAGTCACCATGTCACCGGAGAAGAAGGGCTGCCGTAACTACCTCTCGCCAGAAAGCCAGAGCTCATCGATTAGCAGGGGAAACCGGTGGGGCTTGATGCTTCACTTCGCCAGAGAGAAACTGCCGGAAACGAGGGAGAGGACCTTGCCCAGCTACTGCCGTTACCGCCGCTCCGAAACCCGCCGCTGAACTCCCAAACGCCATCTTCGCAAAAGAAGAGCAGACATGGATTTATGAATGTGCAGTTATGAAATTATGAATTTTCTTTTATGAGATAATGAATTTTCTATTATGAAATTATGAATTTTTTGTTATGAGATTATGAATTTTCTGTTATGAGATTATGAATGTACATAAAATTCTTAATTACATAACTGTAAATTCATAATCTCATAACAGAAAATTCATAATTTAATAAATGTTTTTCTTTTATGAGATTATGAATTTTCTGTTATGAGATTATGCATTTTGTGTTATGAGATTATGAATGTACAGAAAATTCATAATTACATAACTGTAAATTCATAATCTTATAACAGTAAATTTATAATTTAATAAATGTAAATTCATAATCAGAAACATAGAATGCAAAACGCCGTTAACAGCACATTAACTAAATTTTATTTTTTTCTGGTAAGAACGATGCCGTTTGGGACCGTGTTCACCAAGCTTGGTGAACACGTTTCCACGGCATAATTTGGGAGGGTTACTTATATTGGCTCAATAATAGATTTAGAAAGTGGCTAGGTATTGGGCTAGGCTAGATGGGTCAAGTATTTTGGGTTTGGATTAAACATTTTGGACTCACAAAATAACACATATATATTTATATGGGCTTGGGGTAGTCTAGTTTGGACTCCAAAATAATTGATAGGCTTTTAAGAATTAGAACCATTTTGAGCTTAGAATATTTAGGTACAAGAATACTGGTTCATAATAATATTTAGACCCAAGCCCATTTTTAAAAGATAATTAGGTATATATATATATATATATATATATATATATATATATATATATATATTTAGTAAAATATTTAAATATCGGGACAATAATTATATTAGGAAAATACGGGGTGTTACAACGACATTGTTAAATGAATGATCCCTACATAGGATAGTTAGACGTTACACATTGAACCATCCCATGTAAAGATATATTTAGTTGAACCATCCCTATATACGTTACTTTTATTATCATAGGTGTATCCTTTTTTTTACAATGGATCGAAACAACCTGATTGGTTCTGTTAGAGTTTCTAAAGAATTGAGTCTAAACAATTATTCTTTGAAGTGGTCTCACTCTTCACTCACATAGGTAATTCATATTTGGTGCCTAATGGATAATTGGAAATCCTACATGGTGCCCAATGCGCACATACTCCGCACGTGCCCATTGTGCGATTTAATTATGTTCCCTTTTAATTCTTCTTAAAAAACTGTATATGCCAATGCGCACATACTCCGCACGTGCCCATTGTGCGATTTAATTATGTTCCCTTTTAATTCTTCTTAAAAAACTGTATATGTCATTTGAATCGAGACATAAAAGAAAACAATAAAGTTTTTTTGAATTCAAGAGAATATATTGTACTTTTTTTTTTTTTAACGGAGAAACCAAATTCAAACATAAATTAAATGACTAAATGAAACTTAATATAGCCTAGTAATCGGCTAAATTCATATGTTGGGAATTTAAATTATTTCCTGACATGAGAATGTTGGAACTTAAAAGTAATAACGAAAACTTAGAAAGAAAGAATAATAGAGGAATGTTTGATACAAAGAACAACAATGCATATGCATATGTATAGATGTAAGTTGTAAGGATTCACCAAAAACGCATACATATTACTTGCAATGGATAGAATTTGATTCGACAAATATATAAATGGACTATCAATACCAACCTTAAATTGTATATTAGTGTTCTTATATTAATGTAATACTAGTATTTTCACCCCTGCGTTGAAAGGAATGGATTTG